GGGGGGGGGAAGATTTTTCCAGAGCTACAGCCAAATGCTGTCTGCATGGAAGCACTGGCAAGAGGGTTTTGAGGGTTAAAACTCTAGCTCTGACAATGAAAAGTGGACTCTGTTCCTGCTGAATCCTGGCAGAAGGCGAAGCACAACCTGGCAGTCTTTCCAGTGTCTCCATGCTTCCATTCTGGCAGAGAAATCAGCTTTCCCATTTAAAGATATGCACTCCAATTTTGGGGGCTTGATTTTTTTTTTGAGCAGGGGGATGAGGGAGAGTGCATGTGGTATGCAAGTATATCTGATTAAATGTATTTGATAAGTTTCAAACACTGTTCAAATTTACAATTCAGTTGACTGATTCAGGAGTTAGTTCATTCTTTCGGATTAAGCTCTATCAGTATGAACATGATTTAAAATGGCTTAAGTAAAATTTGTTTGGAATTCACATTGCTGTAACTAGAAAACTAGCATGCATTTTCAAATATAGTCATGGCCTAAAATGAAGCTTGACGGGGTTGGCATAAGGGTTGAGAGACCTAATCCTCAATGCCAACAACCACGTCTCATGTCATTTTCATGAGAGGGCAGAAAGTGCGACTATTGGGATTGGGGATCAGATCTTAATAGTGCCACTGCCAGCACAGAGCCCAGGGCACAGGTTTGCAAGTGCTGGACAGGGGGCAATTGACTGACTCCTCCAACCTGATACCCGCAAACCCACAAGCTCTCTCTCAGGACCCTGGGACTGAAAAGCCTCCTGGGGCTCAGTGGGCCTCTAAAAACCATGTGTGCAACTCGACTGCAAATACGGTTTTTAAATATCCCTGGAGCATGGGGACCCCAGGACCAGGGAGCCTCTCCCCAGTACTGGAGTCCCCATGTCTGGGATATCTAAAGTGACATGCCCTGCAGCTCCCTAGGACCCATGGGACATGGTAGTCAACATGCCAGGTCACGGGGAGCCCCAGGACTCCCTGTGACCAGGCATTTTAAAGTGCCCCCCAGCAAGAATGGCCGCCAAGCAGGAGAATTGCCAAGTTCCTGGTAGGGAAAGCCAAGACCTCAACCCTGCAACTTATTTCCCAGGCATCCTGGTCCCGATGCCAACCCCCATCCCAATGCTGATGCTGACAATCAGTTGATTGTCAGCATTGGCAGAAAGGCAGGTTTATTTTTTAAAATTACGGTGCCATACAAGCAACCCACAAAGATGCTCCAAAGATTCCGCAGAATCTCTTTGTGGCTGATTTTCTACCTTATGGTGTCATAAAATAGTTGCACCTGTAGCCCTGTTACTGTTTATGGTGCAGTTAACATATTAATCACAACTTAAATACAAGATGCAACAGGGGCCTGACCCTGCAAGATATTAGGGACTCCAACCTCCTAGGTACTCAATATCCTACAAACAGAATAATAGTTGGCAAATGCATGACTCCTATTAACTAGATAACACAGGCTGCGACAAGTCTGCTAATTCAAACATTTTGTTGAAGTGAAGCTCTCTAAGGCAAAACAAAATATTTTCTTATCCTGTCTATATAAGAGAGTAGATCCATAGTGTACCTGAGGAATATGTTGTTAATCTGTTTTCTGATGAATGCTCTTAAGCCAAGGAATTTTCCATAAATTCGATGAAGGACTGTCTTCAGGAAATCACGTTCTCGTGGGTCTTCACTATCAAAAAGCTCCAACAACTTTAAAAATAAGTATTAAGATATTACTTTAAATTATTAAAACTTTGCCATTTGATTCAGTTTAATTCTTAATCCCCAAACTAGCATTTGAAGCAGTATGATTTTTGTTGACATATTCATGTTTCAATACATTTTAGTATGGATTTTTTTTAAAAGTACAATCTGTAAAATCAGAAATTTTGTTTTCCTGTCCCTTAGCACTAACAAGCCTTCTAAAAATTTAACAGAATCCAAGATAATTATGTTTCCTATCCCATGCATTTTAGTAATTACGTTTCCTATACCATGCATTTTAGTAAAGGCATTTCATCTGGGAACAGATGTTCTTAGAGCAGTAGTTCTCAGTCTTTTTAGACTCCAGGCACCTCCTCCCCCCTGGCAACTTCTGTGAATTGAGCAGCACACAATTCCAAAAACTAGTTTACAATGCTTACCTCCTTGCACAGGGGTCAGGCAAAGACGAACACACACTTATCTCCTTAAATAGCACAGGTGCTAGGTCAGGTGGATTGGAGAGGAGCAGCCAGGCAGTGACAAGCATGTGCTGACCTCCTTGCACCCCACAGCACACTAAAGGATCTCACAAACCCCAGTTGAGAATCACTGCCTTCAGAGCAATCATTTTCATAACAATTTTGAATATTATTTTCAACTGAGCACTTTATATCTTCAAAAATTTGTAAAAAATAAATGTAATCCTTGTGATAGACTCAAGGCCTCTACTCCACCACTGTTTAGGCACATTTTTAATTAATAAATTGAAATAGTTTAATAGATTTCAGTAAAACTACTTATGCATTTAAAGTTAACAATATGCATAAGTCCTTACAGTACTAGAGTCTATATTTAATAAAATGAATGAAAAAATAATAGGCACATTCTCAAGAGTAAGGGTAGTAGGCAACGAACTGACAGAATTATGGAGTGTTTCTAAATTAAGACACAGAGATAAAAATCTCTTGCAGCTATCATAAGTGCAAGTTATTTCTGTCTGGATCTGATACTGGTAGTTAAGAGGGGAAAACATTCTAAGTGACCAGTATAATGTTTGAATTGTTATTTCAAAATGAGTTATTTCACATTTTGTACTTTTGCTTGTACTGTACTAGTGTGGATCTTCCCTTTAACTCTTTGATGAAAGTTAAAAATGATGTACAAAATAACAACAGTTATTTACTGATGTAGGTTAAATGCCCTCCAATAGGCCAATGAGAAATGTTCTGCATAACTTTTCTTCTTTATATATTTTCCAGGTAACAGAGATGATGACTGTACCTTCTTGTAAACCTGCCAACAATAGAGATTTTCTAGCCATGTTACTTGTCTGCAGGGAACACCTTTAGCTTATAGGAAGTGCCCAATTAGCTACCTTTGCTTGTCTGATCTAGGGAAGGGCAGTAAACAAGAGGTACTTCAAGCGACGATCCTATCATTCAATACAATCAGCACTAATACTGCATACAACTTGCAGGGCTAAACAGCAAGCCTGTAAATTGAGACCTGGCTCTGTAGCACCACCACCTGGCCCATAGGAGACCTTCTTTCCACAACGACCAAGCATAGAAAAAACTCTTAGAACAAGATACTAGCCTGCATTCTGCAAGAGGAGATCCTAAAACCTCACTTTCAGGAACCTCCTCTAGATTTCCTCCTCTGTAGCCAGATAAAAATAGCTCTCAGAAAGCATGTTTTTCTCTCCCTCCACCCCCTGCCCCTTTTCCTATTATAAACAGGAACGGAGAGACAGAGTTTGGCAACTGGCTGTGCATATTGAGATTCTAAAAAGAAACAAAATCCTTGGCAACAGAAACTCATTCTTCTCTACCCATTTTTCCCTTCTATATATAGACGGAATCTCTCATGTCACCATCCCACAATTTTTCTGTGAAGTTTCATCTACACATCTGTTTGATGGTCTGAAAAGGGATCAAATAGGCATGTCACCCACAATCTTCCAGGGAGTTTTTAAATCCAGAACTAGGAGCAACTGCAGGATTTGACTAGCCCCTTTTATATAAGAACTAGGTATCTCAACAACTGTCCTGGTATGGGATTCTGTGGGGAAAAGCTAAATATGAAAGAAGGAAACTGAAGGTACACCATCAACCCAGGACAGGGGAGCAAAGAAATTTAAGTAGAGACATAAGCACATGCACTGAGTGGGGATCTATCTACCCATTACTTGCCTGTTAATGCACTTGCTGGTTTGGGCATTTTCCTTTCTGTTACCCAAACTATTTGTGAGAATGAACTTCTGGGGCAAGGTCTTTACCCTGCCCATACTCTTGCCCCCATACATCAGGAGCATTTAATTCATGTGGGCCTGTAGGCCAGATGAGTGGGATGGGGCTGGTCCACAGGCCAGACTGGGCCCACAGAATGGCCCCATATGCTGGATCCAGCATGTGTCCTGGAACAGGTGCCATGTCCTGTACATGTCCCACAGCGGTCAGTTTGGGACCATGCCATATGCAGCGCCTGCTCCAGAACTGTGCTGCATGCAGTGCCTGATCCAGCCAGTCTGAATCTGAGCCACACACAGCACCTGCTTCAGTACAGTCCACTTCATGCTGGATTCAGTACACATCCTGGAGCAGCTGGAATAGGCACCACATACACTGCAGTGCCACCTGCTCCAGGACCACACTGCCTACTCCAGCTGCTCTAGCACTGCACTGGCTGATATGGGACATGCACCAGATCTGACACTGAGTGATGTGTGATCCCAGAGGGGCTGGAACGGGTGCTGCATGTACACTACATGCTGCCTGTGGGTCAGCTCTGAGATCCACAGACAGTGCAGCAATGGTGTTAGGGCCACATCTTTTTCACCCCTGCCATTCACATCCACCGACATCTGATGCTGATCCCAATCAAGAGGAATTTGCTTCAGAACTCCTATTTGCCTACTGTGGCCAATGTTGGACCTGCTGAGGGAGAGGTTTTCCAGGACTTCATATAATCAGGTAAACAATGCTG